GTTATGATGTCAATTTTTTTTAAATGGATAACCACGATGTTTTAATGGTCAATGCTTGTCCTATGTAAAGTTTCCAGCATGTTTTGCGTTGATAACAAACATTAAACGATATAACCATGGTTTGGCTATGATGTCAAATTTTTTGAAATCGATATAACCACTCTGTTTCAATAGTCAAATGCTTGTCCTATGTAAATTTCCACCATGTTTTGCGTTCATAACAAACATTAAACAATAAAATCATGCTTTGGTTATGATGTCAAATATTTTGAAATGGATAACCACGCTGTTTTAACGGTCAAATACTTGTCCAATGTAAAGTTTCCAGTATGTTTGGCGCTCATATATTTAAACATTAAACAATATAACCATGCTGGGGTTTTATGTCAAACATTTTGAAATGCATGGATAACCACAAGGTTTAATGGTCAAATGCTTGTCCAATGTAAAGTTTTCAGCATGTTTGGCGCTCATATACAAACAATAAACAATATAACCATGATTTAATTATGTTAACAAATATTATGAAATAAATAACCACGCTGTTTTAATGGTCAAATGGTTGTCGTATGTAAAGTTTCCAGCATGTTTGGCGTTCATAACAAACATTAAACTATATAACCATGCTTTGGTTATGATGTCAAATTTTTTGAAATGGATAACCACGCTGTTTTAATGGTCAAATGCTTGCCCTATGTAAAGTTTCCAGCATGTTTTGCGTTCATAACAAACATTAAACAATATAACCATGCTATGGTTAAGATGTCAAATATTTTGAAATGGATAACTACGCTGTTTTAACGGTCAAATGCTTGTCCAATGTAAACTTTCTAGCATGTTTGGCGCCCATATACAAACATTAAACAATATAACCATGCTTTGGTTACGAGGTCAATTTTTTTTAAATGTATAACCGCGCTGTTTTAATGGTCATATGCTTGTCGCTTGTAAAGTTTCCAGCATGTTTATCGTTGATAACAAACATTAAACAATATAACCATGCTTTGGTTATGTTGTCAAATATTTTGAAATGGATAACCACGATGTTTTAACGGTCAAATGCTAGTCCAATGTGAAGTTTCCAGTATGTTTGGGGCTCATATATTTAAACATTAAACAATATAACCATGCTTTGGTTTTATGTCAAATATTTTAAAATGGATAACCACGCTGTTTAATGGCCAAATGATTAATTTTTTTTAAATGAATAACCACGCTGTTTTAATGGTCATATGCATGCTTGTCGCATGAAAAGTTTCCTGCATGTTTATCGTTCATAACAAACATTAAACAATATAACCATGCTTTGGTTATGATGTCAAATATTTTGAAATGGATAAATACGATGTTGTAATGGTCAAATGCTTGTCCTATGTAAAGTTTCCAGCATGTTTGGCGCTCATATACAAACAATAAACAATATAACCATGTTTTGGTTATGATGTCAAATTTTTTGAATTGGTTAACCACGCTGTTTCAATGGTCGAAGGCTCGTCCAATGTAAAGTTTCTAGCATGTTTGGCGTTCATAACAAACATTAAAAAATATAACCATGCTTTATTTATGATGTCAATTATTTTAAAAAGAATAACCACGCTGTTTTAATGGTCAAATGCTTGTCCAATGTAAAGTTTCCAGCATGTTTGGCGCTCATATACAAAAAATAAACAATATAACCATGCTTTGGTTATGATGTCATATAATTGAAATGGATAAGCACGCTGTTTTAACGATCAAATGCTTGTCCAATTTAAAGTCTCCAGCATGTTTGGCGCACATATACAAACATTAAGCAATATAATCATCCTTTGGTTATGATGTCAAACATTTTGAAATGGATAACCACGCTGATTTAATGGTCAAATGCTTTTCCAATGTAAAGTTTCCAGCATGTTTGGCGCTCATATACAAACAATAAACAATATAACCATGCTTTGGTTATGATGTCAAATATTTTGAAATGGATAACCACGCTGATTTAATGGTCAAATGCTTTTTCAATGTAAAGTTTCCAGCATGTTTGGCGCTCATATACAAACAATAAACAATATAACCATGCTTTGGTTATGATGTCAAATATTTTGAAATGGATAACCACGCTGTTTTAATGGTCAAATGCTTTTTCAATGTAAAGTTTCCAGCATGTTTGGCGCTCATATTAAAACAATAAACAATATAACCTTGCTTTGGTTATGATGTCAAATATTTTGAAATGGATAACCACGCTGTTTTAACGGTCAAATGCTTTTCCAATGTAAAGTTTCCAGCATGTTTGGCGCTCATATACAAACATTAAACAATATAACCATGCTTTGGTTATGATGTAAAATATTTTCAAATGGATAACCACGCTGTTTTAATGGTCAAATGCTTGCCCTATGTAAAGTTTCCAGCATTTTGGCGCTTGTATTGCTTGTAAATTTGAGCGAACTAAAAAATATTCGAAATTAAATATTAATTACGGAAAAATTATTTGTGGGGCTAAAGCCCAGCGAGCCACTCTGCTCCGCGGTCCCTGTATTCGTGTGATAAGTACTATACATCATTCGTGTCCGTGTTGTATCAGAGATAAAAACACTCGCCTTCGGCTCGGGTTTGTATATCTACTAATGGAACACGGCCGTTCATGTTACATATGGTACTTATTAAGCAGTTATTTAGGAGGGCATTTATAGCATTATGAAATTCGGGATCAAAATAGAAATGTGATGCATGGAATAAGCAGGTCTTCATTAACGTTTAATTTATTAACTGATATACAAGTTTGGACGGGTTTTAAACACAGCTATCAAGTCAGGATTCAAGATCAAAGTTGTAAATATTCATATAAACCAATTTCAAATGTTCACAAAATGTTCATGGAAACTGTCAAAAAATATTGGAATCAGTCGCAAATGTTCCAAAGCGACTTACTGCGGTGACTGCATTGTCCTACCTTGCATGTACATATGAACCCTTGAAGTACTATTGTATTAATACTGGATAATTATTGAAGAATACTTCTAACCAGACCAATGCAAATGAAGTTCATACAGACAACGAAAAGTTCACAAATCTTTAATATAATATAAATCTTAAGGGTGGTTTGCAACACCGTACCAGTAACGTAGGGCGCTTTCCATTTGCACGGCCAAACTGGTCAGACCAAAATTGCCATATCTAGTTTATTGGAAAGATCGGTGCCGGATAACCGGATTTCTCGTTCCCAGACCTTTTGCCTTGTAGAAACCGAGACAGAAAATGTAAGAAATTTCAAGATGGAGGACAATGATGTGGTTTTCATGTTTCTTAGCTTTTTTGGCGATGATTTTGAAGAATATTTTACAGTTTTCGGTACACACTTACCAACAGAGATCATAGGGCTACTTGCGTGTTTTATCCGGAGAAACTTGGTTAGAAACAAATATTATTTTGAGGAATTAATTCCTCAATATCAAATGGATGAATTTAAAAATCATTTTCGTCTTGAAAGAGGGACATTTGAATCCCTAGTGACAGTCATTGTTCAAACAGGATACCTTCCAGTTGCAAGTAGCTCCAGGCGACCTATAATTCATCCTGCAAAGCAAGTTTTAGTCGCAATATGGATGCTAGCGAATCCGGAGTGTCATCGAAGTGTGGCGGATAGATTCAACATTACTATGAGCAGTGTTCACAGATGTTTGCACAGAATTTGTGAAGCTCTGGTTAGTGTGAGAAAAGAATTCATTCGCTGGCCGCAAGGTAATGAACGGAGAAGTTCATTATAATATGATATTCGTCGTTGGTCAAAGTTCACTTCCATATAGACATAGTAAGATAACTACTACGTTTTCTTTTTGCGAATATAATTTTCAGATGCAAAAGCCAACGAAATCGAACAACAGTTTGAAGGAATAAAAGGTTTTCCTCGTGTTCTCGGCGCTATTGATGGAACACATATACGAATAAGAACACCAAGTGACTATCCAGATAGTTATCTTAACAGAAAAAGATCTCACTCTGTTATTATGCAGGTACAAATATACCAATCACCATTTAAGCAAATTGATGCAAGTGAATAAGATGTTTTTTATTTTCATGAAATTTGTTTCATTGTAATCAATTATTACTCATTCAACTTTGTTTTTTTTACAAAGGCAGTTTGTGCCCACGACCTAACCTTCACAGACATTTATGCAGGCTGGCCAGGCTCAGTGCATGATTCTAGAGTATTAGCAAATTCACCTTTACATGCTGAGTCTATGCAAAACCACCACTTCCTTTTCCCAGGAGATGGTCACCTTATTGGAGATTCAGGTTACCCTTTGCTAAGGTATATATCTAATAACATAAATTTGGTAACCTAAAGTAAGATATTAAAAGTTAAAACCTTTAACCCTTGCCCCTTTTCTCATAATATAGATGGCTAATGGTTCCATATAAAGACAATGGTCATCTAACAGCAGCCCAGAAAACCTACAACTTTAAACTTTCTTCAACTAGACAGGTCATTGAGAGAGCATTTGGCTTATTAAAAGGGAGATGGAGGAGATTGTTTTATTTGGATATGCTTTGTCAGAAGAAGATTGTTTCTGTTATTGTTGCAGCTTGTGTTTTACACAATTTCTGCTTAATGTCAGGAGAAGACTATGAAGAATTTCTTGCTGATGTAAACAGATTGGACGTTGCTGGCGGCAATATTAACAATGACATTGCTGGTGACAATATTAACCAAGACAACCAACTGGCAGCTGTTAAACGAGATGTTCTCAGAGATTATTTGTCATTGTAAAAAGGACCAATATAATAACTACAGTCTTGTAAAATGACAATTATATTGAAAAACAATTAATTAAGCCTTTTAGGACCATGTATTTACATTGTTACAATTTGTATTTAACAATTATATTAACATTCAGCAATTCAATATAAAATATGTAAAAGCAATTATATTTGATACATGGTTTCTGAATAAATAAATGTATATAATACTAAATATAATAAAATATTTTAACTCAACAGTGAAGCAGAATATTCAGTCAAACATGGTGTTGCCTCTCCATTAGTGTGAGAAACCTGTTCATTATATCCATTTTATCATCATGCATTCTTTGCAGCATATCCATTTTTTCTCTTTCATTCGATTTATTTTCTGTGGCATAACCACTCAAAAACTCAACAACAGCTGTCGAGGTAGAGCTGCCTCTCCTCTTTTTTTTCTTTTTACTCCCTTCTTGTACTTCCTTCTCCTCATCTTCATCCTCAATGCCAATGGTATCTTTTTCATCCCCTATGGTACTCATTGTACATACAGGCACAACATTTGGATTGTTTCCAATTACATCATCCATCAAGTCATAGAACTCCCATTCCTTGCGATTATTTCCTGACTGGCTGTTGTGAAGCTTTACGTCTTTATACTTTTGCTCAAGTTTTTTCCACTTACTCTGACACTGATCACCAGTCGTGTAAACATCGTCAATCTCCTCGTTGAATTTCTCCGCAACTCGCGCCCAAATTACTTTTTTCCTTGAACATCCTGTGTTGAAAAGCTTCTCGTTTTCTTTCCGGATGGATATAAGTAATTTAGTGTACACAGACGTCCACTTTATTAAAGGAGTTGCATGGAAAATATCGCCGACTGTAACTTAAAACGGATAAAACAAAATATTAATGCCATTTTCAATTCATTGCTGTTTGCAAATGTATAAAAAAACAAAAACCACAATACTGCTTCTCTTTTCGATCCTCCAATACATGCGAAGGATGCAAATTATTCGAGAAATATAAAGCAAAATGCTTACCGTTTGTCACCTCCGTCCTCTCCGCCATCTTGAATTCCGTAAGGCGGGAAAGATTGGCCAGATTGGACTTACTTCTGATCCGGTCCAAAAATTCTGGTCAGAACGGTCTAGATATTCAGAGGTTTCGCATTCCATTTAACAATATAACCGATTTTACCAGTTTGGCCGTGCAAATGGAAAGCGCCCGTACTAACCAACTGAAAATATGAAAATAACCACGTAAATTCGTAAACCATAAGTTCGAAAAATCCAGCTGACTTGAGCTGACTCATAATTCATCGACTCACAACTCATAGACTCATTTGACTCACAAAACAGGCGTGCTCATGAGAATAAGGCTTTAAGGGCAAACAAAGATGTCGTGACCAGCGGATCTGGTACCGTAGGAACGCAGTGAAAAGTTATAGGAAGAACCACATTTTTCCCAATTGTTTCGACATTGCTGGAATTCTTGGAGAGGAATGACCACAATAGGAAAATTCAAATCAGTCAGAGCCACTGTTGCAGTCTTGAGGAAAACTTTCAAAACATAAAACTATCCACCCCCTCTCCTCCCTCAGCGATCCCTGGACGATTTTGAATATCTCACGGATGCATCTTGCCTGAAAAAGAGACTCCTTCTTATCTTCAGAATTTTAATAATCATCCCAGCCTCAAACTAGCTCAAAAAATACATTTATAAAGTTAACTGATCTACGGTCCCATGCTGGCAGAAAGCCAGAAATCATTTTGTCTTCAATGTGTAGAAATTTTCATAAACGTTCACAAAAAAAGAAACAAATATCAAGTTTACTCAGACCATGTTTTGATCTACTCTTCAGATGAATATTGTTCATGGCAGGGTTGGATAAATAACGTAGCCAAATACAGTCATCCCATTAGTTTTTAACAACCGTGGTACTTGGTATAATTACCTCCAAGTTGATATCACACAAGACAACTTTAGGGATGTAAGACAAACACCGAAATAAGAATTTCAACAACAGTAAACAAAGTGAAATCATGAAATGGTTTACAAAATTACAAATCTATACAAATTACAATAAATGGCAAAAGCCTATGATTAAATATCAAGCAGATATGTACTTGTGTGCACTAGACACTTTCTAATTCATAATATCCTATTTCAATACTTCGTTTATTAAAGACACCACGTTTTATTTGTTAACAAAACAAAGCTCTTCCATTCGTATGCCTTATACAGATATTTCATTCTCATAGAAAATATTAACATCAGCTGGGTCTCCACTCGGGGAATTTATTCGCGCGACGCAAACCGGAATCTAAAAACCTGTGATGTGATTGGTCGGCGAAGAAATTTCCCGCGAAAATGTAGGATCGCTTCCTAATTCTTTATCAGTTCGCGCGAATAAATTCTGCCAGTGGAGAACGGGATTTAATCGAACTTAGCGCTTGGGGATTATAAAGTTTCGCACTATTTTTTATAAAATATACTACAAAAACTTTTCTAGGAATAATCAGGTCCTATGAATTACTTAAAATTCTTCTTCAGGCTCAGCTAAGGCCTAGCTGTTTCAAACGTCGTTCTTCTTTCAAGTGTTGAACGCATCAAAAACCAAAAAACGACGTTTGAAACACGCCTAAGACATAATTGTTGGGTTTTTTCGTGACCTTCTTTTTCATGAACATCAGATGTCTTGAACATAATATTATTCACATTTCACGCAAGTTTTTTACAAATTTCCAGTTCCGCTTCAGACTTTAAATATCTTCCCTACCAGCTAAAAAACGAACATTCCCTGTAATGAACACAGTTCTTGCAGTTCTAAGGGGGGGGGGGGTAACTAGAACGATAATTGAGTGATTGATTCATATATTCAGTTCTGCCAGACAGATTTCGATTCTAAGCTATTGCACTACAAAAGAAATCCGTCAGGCAGAACTGAATATATGATTATTCACCCCCCCCCCCGGAAATATTCATTCTAGTGCATGACATCACTGACACTGATTTCCATTATCTCTCTTTCTCGTCAGCATCAAACTTCGTGAACAAAATATAGCTAATATAGTTACTACAATTTCTACGATTATTTTCATAACCAGCACAATTACCATCAGCACCATCATAGACACCAGCACCACACCATCATAGACGAGAACTATCACCACCAACATGACTGTAACTACCATCATGAACATCTTAAACAACACCATCATACGACTGGCATTATTTACAGTATTTTAGAACTTGTTTCTTGCAGATGTATTCAAGATATCATCTTTGTTTTGTTTAACAAACTGTAACCCTAGTTAGGGAGGCAAGGGAGTGCTATCACTTGCCCAAGGTGAACTCCCAGACAAACGGAGGGAAGGAGGTGTCTTACTTCTCCATTCTAGACCAGCTCCAAGCAAAGTCTAGCCGCTGCCCAAAAACAATGTTCTTGATGATAATTGTTCATTTTATTATTGTTCACTAAATCCATTATGAAATATCCTAACCGAAGAATCAATTCCAAAACATCTGTCGTTCATAACGTCCAAACTCTTTATCAACTAAGTCTTCTACTATTGGTTTTCGTCCTCGTGTGAACGGGTTCATTTAATTCATCTTTAAGAATAAAGATATTCTCATTTAATGGGTTCAAACAAACTGGGGGAACCAAACATTTAAGACAATATACAGTTTTGTGTAAATTTTCCTAAAAACATTCTCCGCGAGACGACTTTATTCTGGTTAAAAAAAGGATCGACGTCTTTGTCACACTCAGTATCGTCCAATATCGTCCAGTCAAAGACAGGATTGACTACTGCACCTCGCTTAATATTGTCCGACGAAGCAACTGCACTTTGCTTAATATCGTCCAACAAAGGAAGTTTCCGTTGTTTAATATCGTCCCACAAAACAACTGCACTTCGCTTAATATCGTCCAACAAATGATTTTGTGGAATAGACAGTCGAAGAAACACCATATCACCTTTGTAGTCATAAAAAGCCAGCACGTCCTCTTTTGGGGAAAGTTTAATTGTTTGTCTTGACCTAAAAGTCTCCAAACATGGTTGATAGGAAGTGTTGAGAATCGCGCCAGAGTCCATGTCAAAAAATGTTATCAGCTGATCATGTAAAGTTAACATAATTCTACTCTTGTGAATACAAAATGACCTCGAATACACAATGGACCGGAATGCATGAGTTATTTTTTGAAAATCATTAATGTCCAGATCAATCATCTGACTCTCATCAGTGTTGTCCATGACTACTGCAACTTTGGAATCATTACTGAAACTTACGACACAATGAAATGTGTCAACGAACCTTCCAGCGTCACGGTGATAAAAGACTTCATACGAAGTTGGTTTTTCGGTATTTCTTTTCCAAATATAACATTTATTCTTATTACAACCAGAGATAAAGGCACCACCAGGCGAGATTTCCACTTCCATCTCAGGCTGAATTCCTGGCAAGTTGATCATTACAGGACGATTAACATCTCTGACATCCAGAACTTTCACGGGTTTGTTCCATTTGCCAGCGAAGTTGACAAAGCCTTCAGAAAAACCAAGCAAAGAATTTCGGTAATCTAAAAAGTTCTCTAAATGAAACAGCGCCACCTCCTCACTGATCTCTAGATTGTCATTTACCGGGTATCGCGCTAATTTGGGAATCCCGTTAAATTGACTAATCACAAAAAAGAAATCTTCCGACCACCAGCAAAAAAACTTTGACCCGCATTGCCTGGTCTTGAAACGTTGTTCAATTTGCCTGGTATAGACATTCCATACGTTGATATATCCATCTGAGTTGCAGGATGCAAGTCGAGAGCCGTCAGGAGAAAACGAGCTGGAATAAACTTCCGTTGGCTGTGACAGACAGGATTGCTCTTGTTTAGGAGCTAATGTCTTAAAGACAATTAGTTTTTCATCATCTGAATAGAGCCACAGATCATTTTCTAAAGCTTGCATTTTGAGTTCATCAAAAAAACTCTGTCGAGGAGCTATAGCAAGATAGTTCCAAGCAACAATCGCAGTCAAAGGAATACTTTCAGGAATACACTCCATACATTTGCAGATGCACGGACACCAAATCGCATTATTTCTAGTCCTTATTTCTAAGTGTTCAAAATTTGGTTGCTCAAATCCCCGCTGAAAACATCGTTCACATTTCCTTCTCTTTAACAGAACTGATTTCTTCCTTTCCCCGTGAGATAATTTTCGCTTTTCACTTCTTTGCAATGTGGTGGCGTTCCAAACACACAACGAATGACCCGGAAAAAGAAGATGTGAATTTCCAATAATAAAAGACCCTGTGACGCTAAAAGAGCACCAATCAACAGGAAATCCAGCACAAAGCGACGACAGCAGCGTTTGTTTAGCAACGTCCCATAGTTTAATGGTGTCTGAACCGTCGCTAGTCACCAGTTTTTTGCCGTTAGGGGAAAATGCACAGGTCAGGAACGTCTCTTCATTTCCAGGGAAAAATGGAACTTCCTTTCTTCCAGCAATGTTGAACGCCGTTTCCAGTTTACCAAATAATATGAGCGAGTCGTCTGGAAAAAATGTGCAGCATCGAATTCTTTCCAATTTTGTCGAATAACTCACAATTTTAACTAAATTTGGTAGAGACATCACATGTATAAAATTCTTTATTCCAACTGCTACACTTTTCCCATCGTAAGATAAAGCAACAGCTCTAATAAGACCAAAGCCACTGCGTTTCCAGACTGCTCGCGGCAAAACCGAAACTTCGTAAGAATTCGACTCGACAAAAGGTGAAACGTTTGATAGTAGCGTCTCCGCGATTTTCTTCTCATCAACGCTAAAATAACCTTCTGGAGAACGGGTAAGAACCGCTTGTAAATACCATTGTGAAACCACTGGGGTATGAATTTGTGATAAATGCATGTAATGAAAGATTATTGGATCCACAGGATGGTTGAAAGACACAAATTCAATGACATGGTACGAAATGCGGGAGTGTAAATCTTCGTTTTTAATCCGGGAACATTGCAGTAATTTGAGCCAGAAACGCAGCAAATCATCTGAATGGATTACAGTTAACATATAATATACGATAATAACATCAACTGACCAAAACACACCTTCCTCTATTTCACACTTTTGTAGATGTTTCAAACCATGTTTCAGAGCGTATTTTACGTTATTAGTAAACTTCATCTCACGTCCTGAGCGAACATTTTCCACAATTTCTTTAAAAACTTTTTCGCATAAAAGCCAAAGCGATCTATGTCCATCATCGACCTTGACAGTATACTGGTGATCTTTGTAGCCCTTTGCTAGAAGCCAATCAATAAAGGATTTGTGAAAAACGGTTAACAAGTCATCTGAAACGTACAACAAGCACGATACGGTTTCATTAATTTTGTTGATGATGTCTTTCGTTTCGCGACAATCTGGAGCTAAACCAAAAGCCTGAGCGACGAAAGTGAGGGGAAGAGGTCCTTCGGAAGCAGCCAGCATTGCCAAAATATTCAACACATCAAACTTTTCGTGTTTTATGGTGTTAAGCTCGTCTTCAAGGCGTTTAAAGTATTGTTCGTAAATAGAATGCAGACCTTCTGGGAGAAACGACTTGACGTTATTATTTGTTATCTTCTCAAGATCATAGCAAGCCTTCAGCCCAGATTGAAAGTGATATGCATAAAGAAATGAGCCCTGGCATTTGGCAACAAAAATGGAAAGTAAAGTAATAGTTCCATTTCGTCGAACGCGGTAAAGATATGGATGATCCTCATAGAAATCATCGCTCAACTCCCTTTCATCCACTTCCCTGCCGACTAAACTTGGAAAACATTCTTTAAAATAAAGCTCAAGATCTAAGTTATTGTTGTTATGAACATTGGAAATGTCTGTCTTTTGATCGTCTGTTAGTTTTAGATCAGCAACGGAAATCTCTGGCCTGCTCGTCACCAAGATTTTGATGTACTCGGGAAGATAAGGAAAATATTCAGCAATCAAATGCGCAATTTCATTCTTATTATCTGCAGCACTTTCATCCAAGCCATCGATCACGACTAAACGCGGCTCTTTTATTTCCAATTCATCTAAGGGATTTTGTAAATATATTAGAAAGGCATCTTTCAGGTTTTGAACTTGATGAGGTCGCTTTAACTGATCAAGAAGCTTCTCTTTAAAACCAGGGACGCTCTTGCACATCTGACTTGCGAGAGACTCCAACATCGCCATAGGATCTCTTAGATTTGAATTACTGAAGTCACAAAAGTGACAAGCAGCCAGCTTTCCATTCTTCTCAAAATCTTCACAGATTTTAGCGGCAAACACGCTTTTACCAAATCCTGGTCCAGCTGTTATTAACTTTATTCTTGAATCACTCTCACTGATACAAAACCATTCGTCAACTTCCCTCAACAACCACTCTCTTGTTCCAGGTAGGAAAAAATTCACTTTTCTTTTAATTCTATTCTTGAAATTATGCTTTGCAAGTTTTCGCAAGATATCTTCATCACTTTCTGGGCGTTTTTCCTCTAAAGCTCGGGTCAGATGATCTAAAATGCATTCAATACCTCTCAACTGGCTCAGGATTTCGACATAATTTTCATCCTCAGGCCCCAAGGATGAAGTTTTTATTTCGTCGACATCACTCTGTGAAACGCCCAATTCTACTATCGCCTGGGCAATTTTCTTCCATAAAGATTGAAATGTTGAATTATCAACTCGAGTGGTTGTTACATGTGCAATAACTTGATTTCTGTAACACTTTATTCTTGTGATATTCGCTTGCGTTGACCTATCGGTATCCGGAGGCATTACACTCCATCCTGTTGATGAAAAACCACAAATGTTTCGAAATAGAACTGTAAGTAATGTGACATCAAAGGTTTTGGAATCTGGAGGGTTGCCAGACGGAGGAAACAGTAAATCCCACTGGGAATTATTAATAACTCGAGGTTTTAACTTTTGAAGAGATGTTTTGTTTGTAGCCAGTACTCCAGGTAGACTAACAGGTGGATGGATGGTATCAAATGTATTTCTCAAAGCCTCAGTTCCTTTGTCAACCAAAAGTCTACTGAGTCTTGTAAAATTTGCTTTTTCTTGCAGATCGACAGAAGCCATGACATTGCACGAAGTTTTACTGCAACAAATGGGTGTTAATACTAGATGGGTCTCGCTAAAAACCCCCAGGTATGGTTACATATATGTAATGATATTTTTTGTGTAAGTGGTTTTGAGTGATACCACGTGGACCGAATGTGTTATGAGGGCAATATCTCGACAAATACAATGACAAACGATGAAGCATTAGGGTGAACCAAACAGCAAAGAATGCTTTCCCTGGCATGGAGAAATAGAATATAAAATAATTGAAATCTTTACACAGGATAAACAACGCATCCACTGGAAGGTGATATTGCTTTACCATTATTGAAGCATGACATGAAATATTAAGCCTGGCGCACACTTGTCAAGATTGCACACTTATCACTCGCAGCAATTTCCTATCCTGGGAGTTGTATTGATTGTTGGTCGGTCGTGCTAAATTTTACTACATGCACAAATACACAAATGGAAGAATAAATCAATTTTTCCCCGTAAAATGTGCACGTGAAAATTGTTATGTGTGGGTGTTAAGCGCACCAGTGTCCACGAGGCTTAAAGACAAACACAAATAGCATAAAATAATACTCAACCTTAATAAAAATACGAACAAAACATTTAGTTTGAAATATACCAAACGATGCACAGGTTACGCATCGTGCACGTTTCCGTGAATTGTTGAAACGCTGCTATTAAATAGCTTTTAAGGTAGAGGTCGAAGAACAATTAATCAAGAAATGAAATTGATTTGTTTTGCTATTTATGTATTTGTGTAGTATTATTTCTTTCCATGTCCATTGGGTATTGTGTAGTTCAGTCTAATGCATGAACTATAAGGATACAGTAAGCGGCAATTTTTAATAATCACAAGGACATATATCGATCGAATTATTAACTACAAACTTCATACGTCATTATAAGACCAATAAAATTTACGAATTTACGCAACGAAAGTTACGTTTTCTAAAGTTTAAAAAATTTAACATGACGTCACAATGCAGTGTGGTAACTAGCCTAGTGCGACCACATTTGTAATTTTTCACCAAAGTTGCTCAAATTCTTTTTGACTGCCCCATACTGTGGACGGTACGCGTAACCGTAAGAATATTCTTGCGTTACGTTTTCAAATTTTTCCTGCATCGTGTGGACGGGGCGTCAGTGTTTATGTGTTTGCTGGGTGGATTTTATCTTTGCAGGTTACCTCTAATACACTTGAATTAATTGGTGCATATTTTATATTAAATATTAAAATATAAATATTACGCGAGGTTTAAATTTCTATCAAGTTTCAGGATCATTTTAATCTCAACTGCATGCTTTGAAAGACAGACAACGCTGTATGTTTAGTTAGTTTTCTGATAAACACGGTTTATGAAACTTGGACAAGACACGGAGATTTCTTTGCAAGAAAAATATTGCACGTTTTCTGAATGGCGATGACACATACAGTAATACGAATAAACTTGTTTGGTTGTCAACTTCAACAATCTTCAATCTTGTAAACGCGCTTTGGTTTGACTGAGAATTAAAGGTTGTCAATTTTTAATAAGCCAACTTTTAAATTGTTTCGCGTGGGAAAGATTTTAGAAGCAGACAATATTAGAGTCGATGTATAAAAAGAGAATGTGTGTGTCTAATTCAATTGTTCGTTTGCCTCGAGGCTTAAAATTTCAGCTTCCAATTCGAACCCTCGAATTCTTATAATTTATTATTCAAAATATTGATTGTATATTAAAATTTTAGGAAATTACTAAAAGATTAAATGATTTAGCTCTGTGCTGCGCCACAGAATAAACACGGATATTCTTAAAAAAGGAGAGAATATGACCAACACCGTGACAAAAACTTACCTTCTCAAATTTTGAAAGCGATAATTCCACTACATGGCAAAGATTCGCCGGAAATATAACAAACAGATGTGCGGAAATGAAGACTTGAATCCTAGGAGGAAAATTTTGTAATTCTCAATGTAATTTAAAACTGCCATGCACCTTAGAATGCGGTGCGAGTGTCATGTACACCCTGTTAATAATTATTATGCAAATGAGAAAATTATCGATATCTATTATAGCATCAATGCCACGAATATAACAATAAACAAGATAAAATTTACACAATATGGTTAATGTTTATATCATATGTTCACTGGAGCAACAATAATTAACATCCAAGTTATTGAATTGTTTGCATATAAAACCCCTAGTTAATGTAAATGATTATTATGCAATTAAAATTGAGTGGCGATAACATGAAATGTCTTATAATAGTAGGTTTAAAGTGTATATGAAATGAAAATTTCGATATTGGGTTTTTTGCATTTTCTAAAAATTTCTTCTTTTCCGATCATAAATATACCAACTTTGTCGAAAAATTCGAACTAGAAGTTTGTGAAATTTACGATTAAAGTACGATTTTGAGACTATTTACTGGCGAAAGACTGGTACCTAGAATTTTGGCCCTTGTGACGTATGTAGTGTGACACGTCGACGTGTTTAGTATAGCAAAATAACAAAGATCACGCAATCACGCAAAGCTTTTTTAATATTGTGCGTAAAAAATGTCTGACAACGAGAGTTTCGAGTCACAGACGGAAACAGAAGGGTCATCAGATAATGACGACATCACTGAGCAATCGTTTGTTGTTCAGCCTTACCAATTTGAGCCACTAGCAGATAGCGAATATGACGAAGACAAAACGGACGAAGACGGTATTCTTCGCGAAACGTTTGAATCGAGATTTAAGGGAGATTTACCTGTTAACTTATGATAAGTAATTTCATGAAAGTAATATTATTTTAGGCTGTTTAGCCACAACCGTTTCCTCTTGTTCGTCTGTATATTTTAAAGTGCACATGCGGATATTGTAGAGTAGAGCTGTTACAGAACGCCAAAGAATATCGATGTTGCAAAGAAATTCTCGAGTGCACGGTCAAGTTTACAAATAAGGGCAAGGACGCAGCATGCATAACACAACATTGGGACTATGCTGTGGTCACACAACGGACAGTGTTAGAGACTGCAGGAGCTTTTCTCTCCGACAAGTCGGGGGGAAAATATCATAAGCCAACAAGCAGGACACAAGATCGGCAAAATGAGTATGTACATATTTGTACAACATTGCTATTTATGTTCTCATATCTACAAATAACTAATATTAATAGGTCGAGATAAAGAGTCTTATCGCTTTCGGCTATACAGAACAAAAGTATATAATATCCTTGGTATTCGCGAACGTGGAATTAACGACTCACTGCTTGATTATTTAGGTATTTACGAGCGGTGGCATAGATGGGCGGTACATCAGGCATCAGGGTCACAAAAAGCAGTAAAATATCACTAGCAGGATACCTCCCCAGGACCAATGGTTGACTCCTCCACGTATAGCCTTTGCATGATTTGCATGTTTGTTCCACTATTGCCATTGATCCATGCATTTTGACATTAACACTTGGTGATTGTGCCTTGCATTCAAAACAGAACAATCGGAACAGTGAAAACAACATACTGTAGAACACAATAAATTTTGGTTCACTATCGGCCGATCTAAAATGAAAGACAACTAGTTATTTTTTAGAGTTCCGAAGAATAACGCCTGTTGCAATATGTTATAAATGAAAAAGACCAACCTCACATCGGCCGATGTATTTTTATCTTCCGTTTCGCCAAGCTCGTCATCATCTGATGCGTTAGCTTCTTCGTCCTCCATGTTCGCGTTCCAGTCTGGATCTTTTGTTTCCCCTCTTAAATCATCATCCGAACTATCCCCCATTAATTCATCGTCGAAATGACATGCCTCGTTTAAAATACCAATATCTTCACATCTTTCGTGTTCTGCTTCGTCAGTGCTGCTTTCTCCAGAGGACAAATCTTTTCGCAAATATTCAACTGAATAAAACGATAAACACAATAAATCAGTGAAATAATCAATCACATCCAGGTGGCCAAAAAGGAAAAAATTAACGTTTTTACGAGATAAAATGGTGCTGCGTTATAATATAAGTAATTGGTTACAACAAACCTTTTGGAGGTTTATATTCTCTTTTCGCAACTTCAAATTACACTTCTTTTGCTTCGATCGCAACTTCTGAAGCTTTTCATTTCTCTCTTGTTTTGTGCTACAATTTATACACAGAGATTCATGACCTGTCTCTGAGATGTCACCCTCTGCTTCCTCTCCGTTTTTCTGCATAAGCTCCTCCATGCTCACGTTTAACATTTCTGCCTCATTGCGACACTTGACTCGTCACTTATTTTGTGGGCCGATGACACTGCTTTGACTGCTTCAAGACTGGATAATTCGCCTGGGCAACTTGTTGATGGAGATAGCTGATCCCAGAAAATCTGCAAGAGTAAGTAAAATCAAGAGCAAGTAAAACATTTCAATTTAAATTGCAAAAAAGCTTTGACCAACTATGACAAAGCAACTGTTTGGACATAATATTTCAAATAGGCAAATGAAGAATGTTTTGCTGCATAGAATATCTCCCGACTCACCCTTCTTTTCGTACGCGATGTCGCTGCCAATTTCTCGAGAACAACCGAATCTTTTGTTGGTACAAACCCTTCTAATAGATATCTGGCCTTTGGTTTCAGCTCGTCCGGAACGTCAATGTGATATCGTGTTCCGAAGCAAGATTTCTCAAAGTGTGCTGAGCATATTCCTGAAGAACTCGTAGGAGTAAAATTAGGCCGATGTTTCCGCACGAATTTTACCCACATTTTCTTCTGTTCTTCATTTGCGGGAAACTTATGCATCGATATCCCCTCAACGTGATATGTATTCATGCAACTGCGCAATCCAGGAACTCCGCAGACGCAAAATTTCCCCCTCTTCGCTCTTTTCGTGGTGGAAGCTATGCTTGTTGAATTCAAAATGCTTAGTAACTCATAACGTAGTGTTTTTATAGGGCAAGATTGTAACGATTGCGTGCGAGTGCAGGTTTGAATTTTGTGACATGAGGGAAATGCGGTAGCCAAGACTAGATGCACTGTGTCACTGTGTCTGTCGCGCAAAGCAAGCACGCAATTCTAGCTGATGTTTTCTAAGTAGAGGTGAGAAAATACTAATCAAATTCCGGTTTATTTTAAGTGCAAAAACACGCAATGTGAGCATCACGAGTGATTGTGAGTGAACGCAAATTATATAATAAGTATATCGCGTTTGAAGCAGTTACAAATTCCATAACATTAATTATGGTATACCATGCACGCGTATGCGGTGTAATGTCAATATGGTATGATGTCAGTAATATAGATAGATAGCCTACATATTCAGTCCTAATGTAGATATTTCGTATTCATTTTAGGAATGCAATTTTCTAGTATTAGTTACTACTCTACATTGTTTACAATAGTTGATATCACTTTTACATAATATGCGGTATGTATGCGGTATGTATGCGGTACGTCTGAAACCTCACGATGCGGTATATAGTCTATCGCAGCATAAAAAGTGCATTTTTGGCTGCTACGATTCTTCATGTTGTAATTATATTCTGTCTATAAACTAAAATTTGTGACTACAAAAAGCGGATTCGTCAAAATCGCTCCGGAATCCCAATTCTACATAGACGCAGCTATACAACATCGTATATAGTAATACATATCAAAAGATCGAGCTGTGTCACACTGCCTACGTCATTAGCCGCGCGATGGAATGTTAGGAATTTCGCCAGTAAAGAGTCTAAAAATCGAACTTTAATCGTAAATTTCACAAACTTCTAGTCCGAATTTTTCGACAAGGTCGGTATATTTATGATCGGAAAACACGAATTTTTTAGAAAATGCAAAAAACCCGAGGAATGTTTTTCCAGTATCAGTATCACACAAGACCACAACGCGACGAAGCGCTGTGCAGTGCCAGGCATTTAATAATGCAAGTTTATTCAATACGACGCCACAGCGCTGTTCTGCACCTACATGCACATACAACCAACCATGTCTACTTTACCGTGTTGTTGATAAATCATTTATAATCACAAACGTACTAGTTCAAAATTTAGAATGTGATATAATCTACATGGGCAAAACCATATGTAGACGAATATGTCGAACATAAACAAAATCACGCCTTACTTAAGTGCATCGAAAATGGGAAAATATTCTGGAAAATATTTATGTGGCAAAAAGCGCATGTACAAGAGCTGTTTTCTGGTTAATACCCTGTATTTATAATAACAGACGGATGATGCGTTTCTATAGTCACACGAGGGTCTTAAACTGTAGTCTGAAAATTTGTTGCTGCAGGATATGACTCCAATGGCATAGGAAGGTCGGTAACATCATATTATTCTGGCGATGAGTTAACAATTTCGGAATTGTATTCCTTATGTTTAAAGAAGCGAGAAATGTGCAATGTATTTCAAGTATCACTATCACACGAGTATACTGACAACGCTACCATTTCGGCATTATGCAGACCAATATTTGGCAATAATGCAGATAGACTAGCAACTACGTTTACAAATTTAACATCATGCGCGAAAATTTAAAAGCATGTCTCTAAATCAACGAGAATCATAAATCACATCTCAAACGCCTGAAACCTCACTTTAAGAACATTGAAAGGAAGAAAAAAACTAAATTTGCAATTTTATTTCACCACGCCACAGACAAAGCGCTGTGTTGTGGCAAGACCTTATACGACTGTGACGACTTCACTCTGTTGATGACATAAAATAATTTATATTCTTCAAAAAACCCGACTAACACTGACATAAACGTACCTTTTCAAATCATGAAAGCGATTATTTCAATACATGGCTAAAATTCCACACAAATTCACCAAAATTTGCAGAAGATACTCACGATGTAGATATATTTAAACAAAGACGGAAACTGATTGTAATTTAAAACCTCACAAGCACTTAGTCTCAGTAGAGATTTCATCACACGCATTGTTGACAGAACGTCATGAATCATACTTTCGATAAAAATATTATCTTGTGCAGGGATCAGCCATGACGGTGTGAGGGAAACTGGAAATTTCTTTATAAACGCGGAATGGCTCGTCTAACTTGGCTGAGAATTAATGTTGTGTTAATACGTAAATGACTGTTCTAATGATTTCTGGTTTCAGAGAAAATGCCTCTGGTTAATTAATCACAGTGAACCAAACTGACCATGGTCAGTTTGTGAAAATATAAACAAATTTAAGTTTATAAGAAAAACAATTACTGTCATGAAGACCACCCAACCACCCTAGAGACGACACCTCAGTATTTACTTGCAACATTTCACTTGCAATCTGTAATTCTGGTTTAATATTGATAATTGATTTCCAAGGCTACATGAAATGTCATTATGTAAAATACTTGCCATAGAGAACTCTGTCATTCATTAGCTGGGATTGCATTGGGTCTGATTAAGTTCAAGCACCCTCATGAATGAAAATATTTGCAACTAAAGTATTGTTGAACTGACAGATAATTTATTTCAGTGATTGACAGATATTGTTGTACTAGATGGACTGATCAATGACTGACCAGTGTATTTGTTAAAATACTTTTGGTTGGAACAGATGGTGAAGTCTGAATACATAGTTAACATGATAGCCAGAGAATGACTTTTTATCAATTAGCTGTATACAAGCTGGTATTATACATGAGAAAGAAACCATAACAATAAATGCACATAGTGTAAAATGTGATCGCATGTGGATGTAAGATTAATAGAAGTAGAATACTGTACTCAAATTATGATTTATAAATTTTGTAAAATATATCTCAGTCTTTTAGTCATGTGATATTGGCGTTGATATAACATATATTATTATTTATTGAAAATGAGTCAAGAGTTTTGATTGGCCAGCAGCTGTTGGCGAAATCGTCATATCCGCTCGGCAGCTGCCCAAATTTGGACAGTGACGTCACTTCGTCGGATATGAAAAAAATTATTGCACGTTTGACGTCACTTCGTCAGATATGAAAAAAATTATTGCACGGTATGACGTCACGCTAATTTATGCGGCTTGTGCCAAAACCTAAAAGCGGGAAAATACGAATGTCTAAAAATGTCTACAACGCAAGCGTTTAGTCTAAGCCCAAAATTTTTGCAAATAAATAATAAAACAATTATTGAATTCGGTTCTCGCAGGATATGAGGAATTATCAAGGCCTCGGTTTGTGTTATCCGCCTCAGCCTTCGGCTTCGGCAGATAACACAAACCTCGGCCTTAATAATTCCTCATATCCTGCTCAACCTCATTCAATAATTGTTTATTGTTTGACCATGATCAGGTGGGTTTTAGCTATAAAACTTAATACCATTCAAAGTTGCATGAAGAGTATATATATATATATATATATATATATATATATATATGTTATTTACCACATTGGAGGTCCATATAGGGAAATATTTCCCAAGGTCTCAAAAACAGCCCGAGGGATGTTTTTGAGACCCAGGGAAATATTTCCCTATATGGACTGACTAAACTGGTAAATAACAGGGTTTTTTGCAGTCGGAATTCATATTTTAGCATTAGCTCTGTGCTTTTAAATCCCTCGCAGGACCGCTCGCCTCCTCATACGGACCGCTCGCCGTAGCCAATCAGATTGCAGGAGAGGCTAAAATATGAATTTGGACCGCAAGAAAAAAAAATTGAATATATTATCCAGTTCCAGGATAGTTTCAAGCAAATCTGTTGCCGAACAATTTTCCTAAGACTAGGTCGAATAAAATGTTTATTTAAAATGGACATGCAAGAAATGAATGAAATGATTTTATTCTCCATGAAAGAGATTTCTGGACTCTGGTCTAAATAAATTAGTGAATGTTTTAAAATTGATTTCCTGTGTTATAAAAACTAGGGGAGAATTATATAAATTCAAAATTAGATGTGTTTAATACGACCATTTTATAGCAGAACTGATGAAACAAAAATATAGCGCTGACTGGTGTATTATTTTGCACACGATAAACACAAAACTTTGAAAAATAAATTCCTTCCGTACCCAGCTAAATCAGATTGTGAATATTTTTGTTGACTAAGCAATATATATATAACTAAACCAACAATGCGCAATATACTACGTGAAACACCAATATAAACCAAACCATCCCGTCAAAACATTGTAATATGAAACAAAATAGACAAGGACGCATGCGTATATCGCAATATGAGAGAAATCTCCCCAGGAATCTAGCACATACCTTCGACAATCTGGTCTTGTCTAGTCTGTATTACCACGACTAGTGCAAAGCCGTATGTCCATGTTTTTGTACTTGTCTGCGTCGATAAACCTTGTTAAAATAACTTCAGCTTTCTCAATGAATAAGTTGATCACCCACGACGAATCAGGATCACTTTGGGAGCTTCTAGTCCAAGAATACGATCATTTTGACAAATAACGAACACAGACTTTGAAGAAATACAAAGACTCAAAGAGAACAGGAAATGGGTGAGGTTTTGGGTGTGGCCACTGAGCTATATGGCTCTGCGAGCTGAGGTTACAAAACTGGAACGATATCTCTATCATTTTTTATGCCCCATTATTGAATGATTTGTATATTTTTTAAATTGCTGATAATTGCGGGTAACTGTTCAAAAAATACCGCCTTTAAAAATATTGGGGAGAGCATCGAAAAATTCAGTTAAGATCGAGGCCTTGGGGAATAATTTAAAAAATCACACTTTTTTTAAACCTACAGATCTAACTTCTCTTGATAGTGGAAAAAATTAAGTCCAAATGTCAAAAATTTGTTATAATTTGCCTTTTCTACTATTCCAAAGACTGTTTTCCAGGTTTTTTTTCACACGCGTTTTTTTTTCATACGCACGTTACACACGGAAATCTAAATCATTATACATGTTATCTCTGAAAATATAAATAAATTGAAAGAGTTTTCTGTAAATTTTAACAAATAATAAAACATTTTAAGGCATTTTTACGTGGGTTTACGTGCGTATGAAAAACGCTTAAAGCCCCGTTCACACGGTACCGGATTACCATCAGGTCAAATTTTGAAGCTAATGAAAGACAGCAGTGTTTTTTAATGTCTGAGCCTTGAATAAATATACCAAATCTATCAAATTACTGATAAGCATTTTCTAATAATCGTTGCTTCATAACGGCAAACGAAGATGTCGTGATGAGTGGATCCGGTGCCGTGTGACGCAGCTTAAGTGGAAGACAGCCTTAAGAAGCAAGGCAATAAAAAATTGATTAAAACGAACCACATGTTTTCCAATTGTTTCGACATTGCTGGAATTCCTGCATGGGAGAAATTACCACAATAGAAAAATTCAAATCTGTTGGAGCCACTGTTGAATTTTTAAAACATTCCTTGCAATTCGGTGCGGAACAGAAAAACTGAGAAAAACTTTCAAAACATAAAACTATCCACCCCTTCTCTCCCTCCGCGATGCCTGGACGATTTTGAATATCTCACGGGTGTAATTTGAGAACGCAAAATGAATCTTGCCTGAAAAGGTGACTCCTCTTATCTTCAGAATTTTAATAATTATTCCAGCCTCAAACTAGCTCACAAAATACATTTATAAAGTTAACTGATCTACGGTCCGATGCTCGCAGAAAGGCAAAAATAATTTTGTCTTCAATGTGTAGAAATTTTCATAAACGTTCGCAAAAAAAGAAACAAATATCAAGTTTACTCAGACCATGTTTTGATCCAGTCTCCAGACGAATATGGTTCTTGGCAGGGTTGGACAATTACATGCTGACAGTAGGCAAATATTTAAATATTCAGCAATATTCTTGTCATGTGTTCTTGTGTGGACCAGGCACGTTCGAAGTCATAAAATCCTATTTTACCACTTGATGTTAGTTTGCTTACAAATAAGCTATCTATAGTGTTAAATAAAAATCTAAGCTTGAGTATATTAAATTATGATACCCACCATCTGTAGGGTTTCTAAATTCGCAATGTCGAACGCATTAAAGATAAAAAAACGGCGTTTGAAACACACCTAAGATATTATTTGTTGTGTTGTTTCGTGACTTTGTTTTTCATGAACATCAGATGTCTTGAACATAATATTATTTACATTTCAGTCAAGTTTCTACAATTTTCCAGCTCCGCTTCAGAATATAAATATCTTCCTTCCCAGCGAAAAAACGAACGTTCCCTGTAATGTACATAGTTCTTGTAGTTCCATTACGGGCGAAACTAGAACGATAAATGTGGTGTTGTTTATTCATATATTCAGTTCTGCCAAACAGATTTCCATTCTAAGCTATTGCACTTACAAAGGGAATCCGTCCGGCACAACTGAAAACATGAATACTCAACAACCCCCCCCCCCACTTATCGTTCTAGTGCATAGTCCCGTTATCTTTCTTTTTCATCAGCATCCAACTTCGTGAACAAAATACAGCTAATACAGTTACTACAACTTCTACCATTATTTCAATAACCAGCGCAATTACCATCAGCACCATCGTAGAGACCAGAACCATCACCACCATCATAGATAAGAACTATCACCACCAACATGACTGTAACTATCATAATGAACATCTTAAACAACACCATCATACGACTGGCATTGGTCACAGTTTTTTAGGACTTGTTTCTTGCAGATGTATTCAAGATATCATCTTTGTTTTGTTTAACAAACTGTAACCCCAGTTAGGGAGGCAAGGGAGTGCTATCACTTGCCCAAGGTGAACTCCCAGACAAACGGAGGGAAGGAAGTGTCTTACTTCTCCATTCTAGACCAGCTCCAAGCAAAGTCTAGCCGCTTCCCCAAAACAATGTTCTTGATGATAGTCTCTCATGTTATTGTTCACTAAATCCATTATAAAATATCCTAACTGAAAAATCAACTCCAAAACATCTGTCGTTCATAACAGTCTTCTGCTCTTGTTTTTCGTCCTCGTGTGAACGAGTTCACTTCAGTTATCTTTAAGGTAAACAACTTGCTGGAAAACCCAACATGTAAGAAAATACTTTGTGTAGATTTTCCTAAAAGGAGTCAAAACCTTTTTCTGCAAGACGACTTTATTCCGGTTAAAGAAAGGATTGACTACTGCACCTCGCTTAATATCATATCACGAAGCAACTGCCCGTTGCTTAAGCTTAATATCATCCAACAAAGAATTTTGTGGAATAGACAGTCGAAGAAACACCATATCACCTTTGTAGTCAGGAAAAGCCAGCACGTCCTCTTTTTTGGAAAGTTGAATTGTTTGGCTTGGCCTAAATGTGTTCAAGTAACGTTGATAGGAAGTGCTGAGAACCGCGCCAGAGTCCATGTCAAAAAATATTATCAGGTATTCAGATAAAGTCAATACAATTCTACTCTTGTGAATACAAAATGACCTCAAATAAGAAATGGGGTTGAATGCAGGAGTTATATATTGATAATCACCAGTGTCCACATCAATTATCTGACTCTCATTAAAACACCTGTGCATGACTATTGCGACTTTGGAATCATTACTGAAAATTACGACATAAGGCAATCTGTCAGGCCCTCCAGCATTACCGTGACAAAAGACTTCATATGAAGTTGGGTTTTTGGTATTTCTTTTCCAAATATAACATTCATGCTCATTACAAGCAGAGATAAAGGCACCACCAGGCGAGATTTCCACTTCCATCTCAGGCCTAATTCCAGGCAAATTGATCATTACAGGAGCATCAACATCTCTGACATCGAGAACTTTCACGTGTTCGAAGCCTCCGAAAGCCAAGCTGACAAAGCCTTCAGAAAAACCAACCTTTAAATCTAGGAAATCAGACCAGCTCTCTGGCCTGAATTCAGACAAGTCTTTTAGCGACACGTCCTGACTATCAGTAAACAAGATCTCTTGATTGTCATCTACCGGGTATCGCGTTAATTTGGGAATTCCGTCAATAAATTGACTAATAACAAACAAGAAATCTTCTGACCACCAGCATAAAAATATTGACCTGCATTGGCTGCTTTTGAAACGTTGTTCAACTTGGCTGGTATAGACATTCCATATATTGATATATCCATCTGAGTTGCAGGATGCAAGTCGAGAACCGTCAGGAGAAAACGAACTCGAATAAACAAACGTTGCATATGACAGACAGGATTGCTCTTGTTTAGGAGCTAATGTCTTAAAGACAATTAGTTTTCCATTATCCGAATAGAGCCACAGATTATCTTCTAAAGCTGTTATTTTGACTCGAAAAAAGGGATCATAGTAAGAATAGGCCAAAAAATAGTTCCAAGCAACAATCGCCGTCAAAGGAATTATTTCTGTGACACTCGAATAACATAATTCTTCCATAGAAATCGAAAAAATACACTCCACACCTTTGCAGATCCACGGACACGACATTATACATTTTCTTTCATGTGTTTCATCACATAACCTCATTTTATATTTGTCATATAACCTTACTTCTAACTGTTTGTAATTTGGTTCCTCAAATCCCCGCTGAAAACATCGTTCACATTTTCTACTCTTTAACACATCTGGCTTCTCCCTTTCCACGTGAGATAATTTTCGCTTATCACTTCTTTGCAATGTGATGGCGTTCCAAACACACAACGAATAACCCGGATAAGATGAAGATTCTGAATTTGCAATAATAAATAACCCTGTGACGCTAAAATAACACCAATCAACAAGAAATCCAGCACAAAGCGACGACAGCATTTTTTGTTTAGGAACGTCCCATAGTTTAATTGTGTTTAAACCGTCCTTAGTCACCAGTCTTTTGCCGTTAGGGGAAAATGCACAGGACAGGAACGTCTCTTCATTTCCAGGGAAATATGGAACTTCCTTTCTTCCAGCAATGCTAAACGCCGTTTTTAGTTTACCAAATAATATGAGCGAATCGTCTGGAGAAAATGTGCAGCATGGAATTTTTTCCGATTTTGTTGAACAATTCATAATTTCAACTAAAGTTGGTACGGATATCACATGGATAAAATTACTTATTCCAACTGCTACACTTTTCTCATCGTTAGATAAAGCAACAGCTGTAATAAAACCAAAGTCACTGTGTTTCCAGACTGCTCGCGGCAAAACCGAAACTTCGTAAGAATTCGACTCGACAAAAGGTGAAAGGTTTGATAGTAGCGTCTCCGCGATTTTTTTCTCATCATCGCTGAAATAACCTTCTGGAGAACGGGTAAGAACCGCTTGTAAATACCATTGTGGGAGTAGTGTCGAATAATTTTTTTGTAAGCTCTCGTAATGTTCCACGCGATGCACAAAAGACTCAAATTCAATGACATGGTACGAAATGCGGGCGCGTAAATCTTCGTTTTTTAACCCAGAACATTGCAGTAATTTGTGCCAGAAACGCAGGAAATCATATAAACTGATTATCACATTGAACATATAACAAACGATAATAACATCAACTGACCAGAAACCACCCTCTTCCATTTCACACTTTTCTAGATGTTTTAAACCATGTTTCAGAGCGTATTCCACGTCATTAGTATACTTCAACTCAAGTCCTGAGCGAACACCTTCCACAATTTCCTCAAAACCCTTTTCGCATAAAAGCCAAAGCGATCTATGTCCATCATCGACCTTGACAGTATACTGGTGATCTTTGTAGCCTTTTGCAAGAAGCCAATCAATAACGGATTTGTGAAAAACGGTTAACATGTCATCTGAAACGTACAACAAGCACGATACGGTTTCATTAATTTTGTTGATGATGTCTTTCGTTTCGCGACAATCTGGAGCTAAACCAAAAGCCTGAGCGATGAAAGTGAGAGGAAGAGGTCCTTCGGAAGCTGCCAGCATTTCCAAAATTTTCAACACATCAAACTTTTCATGTTTTAAGTCGCTAAGCTCGTCTTCCAGGCGTTTAAAATATCGTTCGTAAACACAATTCAGTCCTTCTGGGAGAAACTCCATGACGTCATTATTTGTTATCTTTTTAAGATCATAGCGAGCCCTTAGCCCAGATTGAAAGTGATATGCATAGAGAAATGAGCCTTGACATTTGGCAACAAAAATGGAAAGTAAACTAATAGATTTATCCCATCTTAACCGGCGAAGATATGGATACTCATACAAATCTTGGCTCACTTCACTTTGATTTACTTCCCTGCCAACTAAACTTGGAAGACATTCTTTAAAATAAAGTTCAAGATCTGTGTTATTGTTAGCGTTAACATTCGCAATGTTCGTCTTTTGATGGTCTCTTAGTCTTAGATCAGCAACGGAAATCTCTGGTCTGCTCGTCACCAAGATTTTGATGTACTCGGGAAGATCAGGGAAATATTCAGCAATCAAATGAGTAATTTCATTCTTATTATCAGCAGCACTTTCATCTAAGCCATCGATCACGACTAAACGTGGCTCTTTTATTTCCAATTCATCTAGAGGATTTTGCAAATATATTTGAAAGGCATCTTTGAGGTTTTTGATTTGATGACGTCGTCCTAACTGATCAAGGAGCTCCTCTTTAAAACCAGGGACATTCTTACACATCTGACTTGCGAGAGACTCCAACATTACCATAGGATCTCTTAGGTTTGAATCACTGAAATCACAAAAATGACAAGCAGCCAGCTTTCCATTCTTCTCAAAATCTTCACAGATTTTAGCGGCAAACACGCTTTTACCAAATCCTGGTCCAGCTGTTATTAACTTTATTCTCGAATCGCTGTCACACTTTTGAAACCACTCGTTAACTTTCTCTAACAACCACTCTCTTGTTCCAGGAAGGAAAAAATTTACTTTTCGTTTAATTTTACCCTTAAAATTATGCTTAGCAAGTTTTCGCAATAAATCTTCATCACTTTCCAAGCGGGAATTTTTTTCAGGAATGGTGTTGACAGGTATTGATAGCGTACGCTTGGCCAATGACTGTCGCATTTCATTTACTGCATCGCGCGTTTCATTTACTGCATCGCGCGTTTCATTTACTGCATCGCGCGTTTCATTTACTACATCGCGCGCTTCATTTAATGCATCGTGCGTTTCATTTACAGCATAGTGCGTTTCATTTACTGCATAGTGCGTTTCATTTACTGCATCGTGCGTTTCATTTACTGCCTCGCGCGTCTCTTCAGCGACTTGTGTTATATTATTTACACCAGCTTCAATTACTTTAAGCAATTTAATACACTCATCTTCGTGCAGTTTCCAATCTTTAAGCTTTTGCACATACACTACTTCTTTAGGCCCAAGAGGACATTTTTTTAAATCGTCGACATCACTATGTAAAACGCCCAATTCTACCAATGTCTGGGAGATTTTCTTCCATAAAGATTGAAATGTTGAATTGTCAACTCTGGTTGTTGTTACATGTGCAATAACTTCATTTCTGTAACACTTGATTCTTGTGATATTCGCTTGCGTTGACCTATCAGTATCCGGAGGCATTACACTCCATCCTGTTGATGGAAAACCACAAATGTTCCGGAATAGAACTGTAAGTAACGTGACATCAAAGTTTTTGGAATCTGGCGGGTTGCCAGACGGAGGAAACAGTAAATCCCACTGGGAATTAGTAATAACTCGAGGTTTTAACTTTTGAAGAGATCTTTTGTTTGCAGCCAGTACTCCAGGTAGACTAACAGGTGGATGGCTGGTATCAAATGTATTTCTCAAAGCCTCAGTTCCTTTGTCAACTAAAAGTCTACTGAGTCTTGTAAAATTTGCTTTTTCTTGCAGTTCGTCAGAAGCCATGGCATTAGACAGGGTTTATTACTGTAACAAAATGGTTGTATTAAATATATAGGCTACACCGAGAAAAAGAATGGGATGGAGTAGATTTTCATAAAAGAAAGTCGCAAGGGTCTTGTTAAACGAAGGGATTTCTTGTGAAAATAATTTTGTGAAGAGATATATGTTTTAGGAGTAACGTTTCTGACTTGCTACCACCCATATGACAAACTCACATGAACTTAATTTTAGAATTTCCAGTAAACGTTTCGTCTTTCTTATTGTGTGCGGAAATATGATTTCCCTTGATAATCATTCATAAAACATTTCTCTTCCCAGACTAGCGGCTGTGCCTCCTAAGTATATAACCAGTTAAGCTGGATTATTATATTTTCGTAAGTCTATGCAGTATTATTAGGCGCTAAGGGATTGAGTCTATTAAAATAAAACTGTATTGATCGATCCTTAGTCTCAGAACAACTAATCCGCCTTATTTGCTTTTTAATGTTTGATTATTGTCAGGTTTTAGCCCCTGAACCTCGCAATCGTGTTATGAATTATTTCAATATTGGTTACCGGTTCATTTAACATGACATCACAGCTCTGTACTGTACCGCTCAATAGAATACAATAGACACTCATACTGTTAATATTCGAAGAACGTAATGACGTCACAGCTCTGTACTGTACCGCTCAATAGAATACAATAGACACTCATACTGTTAATATTCGAAGAATGTAACCAACACTGACACAAACGTACCTTATCAAATCTTCAAAGCGATGATTCCACTACATGGTCAAATCTCGGAAAGGATAACGGACAGATGGACTGAAATGTAGATTTAAGACCTATAGAAAGAACAAATTCTGATTGTAACTTTCACCCACCCAATCAGTGGCTAGAATGACATGTGAGTGTCACGTGGGATGCGTATTTATAATGGTAATTGTACTGAGTGGAGTGCTCATGCGTCATTACAAAAATCTCACGACCACGAAACAGGAGACCATAGTTATATTTCAGATCGTATACAAACCCTCAATTTTGTTTGCTAGAATGAATATTATTATTACTGTTTACTAAAACAAATCACTTCGCAGCCCTAAAGCTGAAATACACATGATTTTCGCAAAGAAATAAAAAGTAGGTATCATTAAGAATGTATCTATGTTTTACAGCAAACATTTTAATAACTAGTTTAACTGTGGTTATATAAAAACTAACTATACTTTCGGTTCGGTCAGAGAATAAAAGACATTAAGGTTTAGCAAATTTTGATAATTCTTAATTCTACGATTTCATCTAACATAAACTTTCTTAAATTTGTTGTGGTTGCATCTTGGAATCATAAAACAGTTTTGATTTTTAAGGTTGTAAGTTTGTGGATGTTTTGCAGATAAATAATATAACGTGGAAAACCCACTCATCTCATTATTTCTCGTTCTCCCAAACTCCCACGCGTGTTTCTATAACTGTATACATCACAGAAACATCACAGAACTTTACTCCCGTATATATAACCAACATCATGTTTCAGCCTCGTATCGTGGCCATTTAAGGAGACAAAACTAAATAATTACCGTCATTGTATAATAAGAATAATAACTTCTTATTAACCGAGCGCGAGGTCTTTACCGAGAAATATCGGACCGAGGTCTTTTTGAACAGACCGAGCCCGAATTAAGAGCGAAGTTTGCACTAAAATATCGAGGTCCGATAATTCTCGGTAAAGACCAAGCAAGCAAGGTTAATAAAAAGGTTATTATATGGCATAAGGCATGTATTTGCACTTAAAACAAACAAGAAATACATGGATTCGTATTAGTAGCCTGGTACGCATTTGATAAAAACAAAAACAAAATATTTCTATTATTAAATTATTTAGTTTACCTAAACTGTCTGGAGACGTCTTATTTATTTCAAAAGCAATTATATACGTCATCAGTCTACGTCACTACGGAGTACCATGAGAAGCACGCGCTCGCTTTCCTAGCCATTTTACACACGCTTTCTTAGCCGCAACATCAAATTTCTCCATCGCTGGGGATTTGTTAAACAGCAACTTCGCATCCTTCAAGCTTACTCTTCTAGCAAGACTTATATCGCTTGGTTACGTGAGTAACGTAGAGTAATTTGGTAAAGGTTTATTAGTTAGTCCTTTTCAGGCTTTATTTCACAATTTAGCTTTTCGCGGGATAAGTCGGATAACACAAAATATTGTCATGAATCCGACCAACAGTGATACTCAATCTTCTGAAAACCCCATGACTTTAGGTCAACCTGATCATGTTGACTGCCTAACAGGCCAGGCCACCGGCATTACTCTTTGGTGATGATTTGGCTAAACAAGTGAGAGATGCCAAAGAAACGAGTAATATAAGCCTAACCCTTGGCGCTAGCCGAAATAGACAAGCCCGAACCATGCAACCGTCCAACATATCGACCCGATTAATCGTTTCACTAATTCTCGTCCACCGAGAAACAACCATTCTGCTATCAACTATCGCGCTGACAACAGGCCTCATTTTTTGGGGAAGGGCTAGAAAAATCGATTTTCAAAAAAAAACCCGGCAGGAAATCTTGAGTACTCTCAAACAGATTAAATTATTGGTAAGTCAATTTCCGCTTAATTTTGACCGTTTAACAAACTACTTACGAAAGACTTACTGTAAATACCAATAACCAATACCCATATTCGTGTCTACCTTGATAACACGACCACAATCGCAGTAATTAACCATATGGGTACTAGTCTCTCCCCAAATTGCAACACTCTGGGTAAACGTATCTGGGAATGGTGTATCGGCCGAACTATTTGGCTAACTGCTGCTCATATACCAGGAGTTGACCATAATATAGCCGACTCTGAATCACGCAGCACTTGCACTCACGCTGAATGGATGGTTGACAGCTCAATCCTTAAGCGTGTTTTCACTCACTTGGGATTCCAACCAAACATTGATATTTTTGCATCACGCCTTAATACTCAATTTCCTACCTAATGTGTCATACCGACCTGACCCTGCAGGTGCAATCGCGGTAGATGCATTCACACTTAACCTGGCTAAATTCCAGTTTTATGTCTTCCTCCCATTTAGTGTCATAGCCGCATTACTGCATAAAATCCAGGAAGAAGGAGCGACGGGGGTAGTGATAGTGCCAGACTGCCCAACACAACCCTGGTACGCCAAAGCCATGCAAATGTGCCGACAAACTCCAGCAAGCGTGGGTCCGGGGAGAAACCTGTTGAAATTGCCCGGCCAACCTCGGGAGTTACACCCTCTACACAAGTCCCTGGTGCTGCTAGTCTGCCGCTTATCCGGCAACAGCTAATTGCCCAAGGTTTATCGGATGCAACAGTTAATATTATAATGGCGTCATGGCGCCAGGCAACAGAGAAACAATACCAGTGTGATCTTTTAAAATGGATTAGATTTTGCAAAGACAATGATATAAATATTGAACGAGCCAACATGCAGAATGGGCTTAAATTTCTTACATTCTTATACAAACAAGGAGTAGGCTACAGTGTCATTAACACAGCGCGGTCTGCACTATCTGCAGTGATAACTCCGAATAGCGAGCAAACGTTTAGCGAACACCCTTTGGTGAGCCGACTTCTCAAAGGTATATTCGAGCTTAAACCATCCCTCCCCCGATACTCGATCGTGTGGGACGTGGGCACAGTTCTTAAATACCGTAAATGATCCAATAAACGCCCCCTATCAAATAAACGCCTCGTATCTAATAAACGCCCCCCTTGAAGTGTAAGTTTGTTTTAGACGCCTCTCTCTAATAAACGCCCCGAGTCTAATAGACGCCCCTCCCCCAAATCGCCTTAAGGCTTAAAGCAATTATAAAGGAAACGCTACACACAGTAACATTAAAGAATTTATTTATTTAGTGACATGTGCGGTTGTCGTGTTAAGAGTGGTTTGCTTATAATCTCTTGTTCGATTTCAAGCTCAAAGTACGGATATCACTCCTTAATTCTTTTGATTTCTGTATTCATTACGTCGGCAACTTTCTTTCGGTTATTCGGTTTTGGTACATGCAGTCCTTGCCTGTTATAGTGGAGCTACCTCTATCAATATTGACGAAAAAATTAACAACTTTATTAGCTTTTTTAACTGCACAACGATGCCAAACCTTATCTAGCTTAGACCTCGATTTCATGCAGGAAACTGATGATGGAATTATATTTATAATACGCGAGAAACTAAAAACCACGAAGACGGGAAAACACCTCCCGTCTATCAAGGTTAAAAGCTATTCCGAGGACATCCGCCTCTGCCCTGTAGCCCATATTAAACACTATATTATTAAAACTAAACCTATGAGAGCTGATTCCAAATTGCTACTAAGTTACGTCAAACCATTTAAACCGGTTACAAATTCCACAATTAGTGGTTGGGTCAAACGTGTCCTCCAAGGCTCAGGCATCGACATAAACAATTTCTCAGCACACAGTAGCCGGACGGCGTCCTCATCTTACGGATTCCTATCTGGGTTGTTCCTTAAGAACGTACTCAAAGCTGGCGGTTGGACAAATGCAGGAACATTTGCCAAACATCATAATAAACCAATCGTCGCCAATTTTGGAAACAGCATACTTATAAATCACTTTAATAGCGAGGACAACAATGATCGCGAATGACTTATATATCTTGTATAGCTCTGATAACAAACTATTAAGACGGTGTATCAAACACTGAGATGGTTGGGGTTCACTTTCATCTTGCAAATCGCTGACCCTCACATCTTTCAATTCTCATGCTACTGCGTAGTGACGTAGACTGATGACGTAAATAATTTGAAAATTAAACGAGATTTAGCAACCTGTAAGTTGAAGTTTGATTTAAATTATATAACGTCATCAGTCCTGAACGAAGAAATAACATGAGAAGCACGCGCTCGCTTTCCTAGCCATATTTTAAAGACAGCCAACTCGCTGATTCTCACACGGAACGAAGAAGTATCGGGAGGGACAACTCTCCACAATGAAGGGAGGGCATGTTACTATTTCATTCAGGACTGATGACGTTATATAATTCAAATCAAACTTCAACTTACAGGTAGCTAAGTCTCGTTTAATTTTCAAATTTAATTTTCTCTTGAGCATTTCGATTCCTGCCGGAGGACCGATGGTTGACTCATTTTTCCATCAACTGTTCCTGGCTTGAATTTGAAGTGTGTATAATTCCACCCGAAATTAAGACCCTATAAAACCTCTAGACTTTACCTGCATCGAGTGAAGTGCCAAAAATCATAATTAATTTAAAACTGCCATGCACCTTAGAATGTCATGCGAATGTCATGTAGTTATGGAATTTGTATATTTAGGGGGTCATTTTTATGAGCAGAAAGTTCAATATTATTCATTTCATGGTAAAAAATGCACAACTGCACAACGCGACTCCAGGCATTTATTAATGCAAGTTTATTCAATACGACGCCACAGCGCTGTTCCGCACCTACATGCACATACAACCAACCATGTCTACTTTACCGTGTTGTTGATAAATCATTTATAATCACAAACGCACTAGTTCAAAATTTATAATGTGATAATCTACATGGTCAAAACCATATGTAGACGAATATGTCGAACATAAACAAAATCACGCCTTACTTAAGTGCATCGAAAATGGGAAAATATCCTGGAAAATATTTATGTGGCAAAAAGCGCGTGTACAAGAGCTGTTTTCTGGTTAATACCCTGTATTTATAATAACAGACGGATGATGCGTCTCTCTAGTCACACGAGGGTCTTAAACTGCAGTCTGAAAATTTGTTGCATCATATAACATCATATTATCGATAACATCATATTATTCTGGCGATGAGT